TTTCACCCAAGAGACCTAACAAATCCATATTTAATGTAACATGTTGAAATTTTAAGGAATAAGGAATTTTACTATTCAATACCACATAAAAGTTACAAATTCTGTATAATACTCAAATGGCTTTAGAAAACTGATTTTTTACATGAAACGATTTACAATCAATATTGCCCAAGTATTTCTCACATGCCAGTTGAAATGATCTGACTTTCAATGCCAAGTCTGTCTACATGTAAATGTGTCTGTAAATGTCTATGAATAGAAGGGGAGGCCAATATGGCGGAGAAGATTGCATGTAACAAACTGCAGATTTGACAAACAGATTTTAGTCCCATAGAGTTTATTTTAAACATGTTTACTGTACACCCAAAACTGTTTTTGCTTGCTTGAGGTTTATGCTGAAAAGCCTGTGATGTGTTCTGATTAAATTAGGGCAGATGTCTGGAAAGAAAGATGATATAATTTTCACAAATGTAAGGACTTGATTCCACAGTTGACCCTGTGTTTTGTGTGGTGGTGATGATTAGTTCTGGCTGCTAGTATCCTGACAGTCTCAATGATTTTCTGCAAGTCTTCAACAAACACTCTTCTACGTAGACCATTGTTGGACCGTCCCACGTGAATAGTGGTAGTACATGAGTGTTGAAGTGTATCGGAACACGACCTGCTGTGGCAGTACAGCTAGAGACTGGTACCGGTATATGATATCAATGTCAGAGAATAACAAATCTCAGTCATCTGAGTAAAATCAATTTGGAGTAAAAAACAAAAGAGATTTGAATGGGTCTTTCTTAATTAGATAAGAATGAACATCTATATTATGGCAGTCAGCAACCATTTCTCAGTCTCCTTGTTGGGTAAAATGTAAAGGTAGGTTACTGCTGGGTTATTGCAGTGTAAAATGTAAAGGTAGGTTACTGCTGGGTTATTGCAGTGTTAAAGGTGGGTTACTGCTGGGTTATTGCAGTGTGAAAGGTGGGTTACTGCTGGGTTACTGCAGTGTTTAAGGTGGGTTACTGCTGGGTTATAGCAGTGTTAAAGGTGGGTTACTGCTGGGTTATTGCTGTGTTAAAGGTGGGTTACTGCTGGGTTATAGCAGTGTTAAAGGTGGGTTACTGCTGGGTTATAGCAGTGTTAAAGGTGGGTTACTGCTGGGTTATAGCAGTGTTAAAGGTGGGTTACTGCTGTGGTTATAGCAGTGTTAAAGGTGGGTTACCGCTGGGCAGTGTTAAAGGTGGGTTACTGCTGGGTTTGCAGTGTTAAAGGTGGGTTACTGCTGGGTTTGCAGTGTTAAAGGTGGGTTACCGCTGGGTTATTGCAGTGTTGCTGGGTTATTGCAGTGTTAAAGGTGGGTTACTGCTGAGTTATTGCAGTGTGAAAGGTGGGTTACTGCTGGGTTATTGCAGTGTGTTAAAGGTGGGTTACCGCTGGGTTATTGAAGTGTTAAAGGTGGGTTACTGCTGGGTTATTGCAGTGTTAAAGGTGGGTTAATGCAGTGTTAAAGGTGGGTTACTGCTGGGTTATTGCAGTGTTAAAGGTGGGTTACTGCTGGGTTATTGCAGTGTTAAAGGTGGGTTACTGCTGGGTTATTGCAGTGTTAAAGGTGGGTTACTGCTGGGTTATTGCAGTGTTAAAGGTGGGTTATTGCAGTGTTAAAGGTGGGTTACTGCTGGGTGGGTTATAGCTGTGTTAAAGGTGGGTTACTGCTGGGTTATTGCAGTGTTAAAGGTGGGTTACTGCTGGGTTATTGCAGTGTTAAAGGTGGGTTACTGCTGGGTTATTGCAGTGTTAAAGGTGGGTTACTGCTGGGTTATTGCAGTGTTAAAGGTGGGTTACTGCTGGGTTATTGCAGTGTTAAAGGTGGGTTACTGCTGGGTTATTGCAGTGTTAAAGGTGGGTTACTGCTGGGTTATAGCTGTGTTAAAGGTGGGTTACTGCTACAGCAGTGTTAAAAGTGTGGGTTACTGCTGGCTATTGCAGTGTTAAAGGTGGGTTACTGCTGGGTTATTGCAGTGTTAAAGGTGGGTTACTGCTGGGTTATAGCAGTGTTAAAGGTGGGTTACTGCTGGGTTATTGCAGTGTTAAAAAGGTTACTGCTGGGTTATTGCAGTGTTAAAGATGGGTTACTGCTGGGTTATAGCTGTAGGTTAAAGGTGGTTACTGCTATGCAGTGTTAAAGGTGGGTTACTGCTGGGTTATTGCAGTGTTAAAGATGGGTTACCGGGCTGCAGCTGTTAAAGCTGTGGGTTACTGCTGGGTTACAGCAGGGTTGCAGGTTGGTTACTGATGGGTTGGGTTATTGCAGTGTTAAAGGTGGGTTATTGCGCTGGTTATAAGGTGGGTTACTGCTGGGTTATTGCAGTGTTAAAGATGGGTTACTGCTGGGTTATAGGCTGTGTTAAAGATGGGTGACTGATGGGTTATAGCTGTGTTGAAGGTGGGTTACTGCTGGGTTATAGCTGTGTTAAAGGTAGGTTACTGCTGGGTTATGGTAGTGTTAATGCTGGCTCAGTGCTTGCCAAGTGTATCAAAAGTTCCAATCTAAGTACCAGCTACCGTACCAGTACCAGGAATACAAATATACCCATTGTTTTGTTCAAAATAAGGTTTTGAAAGACATATTTCTTATCTTCAAAAGTATTTCTTAGCATTACAAAATTAAGTGATGCTTCTACCCAAGATCCACACACTGAAGTCATCAAGTGATGCTTCTACCCAAGGTCCACACACTGAAGTCATCAAGTGATGCTTCTACCCAAGGTCCACACACTGAAGTCATCAAGTGATGCTTCTACCCAAGGTCCACACACTGAAGTCATCAAGTGATGCTTCTACCCAAGGTCTGAAGTCATCAAGTGATGCTTCTACCCAAGGTCCACACACTGAAGTCATCAAGTGATGCTTCTACCCAAGATCCACACACTGAAGTCATCAAGTGATGCTTCTACCCAAGGTCCACACACTGAAGTCATCAAGTGATGCTTCTACCCAAGGTCCACACACTGAAGTCATCAAGTGATGCTTCTACCCAAGGTCCACACACTGAAGTCATCAAGTGATGCTTCTACCCAAGGTCCACACACTGAAGTCATCAAGTGATGCTTCTACCCAAGTTGTAGAGTTTCTCATTTATACATTTTCAGCCATACTGCTATATGCCAGAATGTTGGTGGTAATGTTGAATGTTATCTCAAGACAAAGAGTTGGGGGATTTATGTGTTTTAGGCCTGAAGCAGACAATATTCCAGCTATAGAATTGAAGTCATCAAGTTTGGACAGATGTATGAGTAGATAAAAGTTACGAGCAAGAGTCACTACTATTGGGGTATAATGATACTCAGTCATGTGAGGTGAAATAGAGTTTAAACCCAAAATTCAGCTTATCCATGGTTATGTACATTATATTTATTCTGAGCCGACGAGTCAGGTTTTCTTATCCCCTAATGCCAAGAGTCAGAGTAACAACAAGAAATTGACTTTTGATGTGACAGTAAACATGATGACCTCTAGGGTCAACTCCCAGGACAGACCGCTTGTCCTCCACTCCATGGAGGTGGTCACATGCAACCAAGTGTATTGTCACGATCAGATCTTCATGTCAGTCAGCTTCAGTGACAAGCATAGTGTTCTGGGATCTGCATTCCACTGGAATCCAATGGGGCAATAGATCCTTTAACTGTTAATATACTTTTCAAGACACTGTCAAATAACATAAGCGTAAGAGATTAGATCTATCACCATCACAGTATTGTTAGTTTTATTATCATAATACGTCTAGTGTCATCTCAGATATTTTGACAGTCATAGCCAAAAGCCGGATTTGTGAAATGTCCTTGTGGTTCAACAAAACACAGCAGGTTGCAAAAGATATTAGTGGAGCAATTATCAAAGGTCAGTGTTACAAGACATGGTCATATAAGCTGATACGTTTGAGCCTACAATGGTGTGACGAGACGGTGTATAAGATCAGATGTTGCAGTGAGACGTATGTAGTGAATAACACAATGGGCTCTGTCTGGCGTGTGATACGTGGTGGTGTACAATAGTGGAATATTCTCTGACAACTTTACATGAGTGTTGTAGTGTCAGGGATTAGTTGCAACAGTATAGGGTAGCCCAGCCTGTCAAGGTGCCACTGATTGCTGTACAGAGTTATGTCCCCTAGGTATGACAGAATCCCGTGACGGGCTCAAATCCTGGTTTGTCAGTACTCCCATGCTTCACCTCCATCAAAATGGGCTTTCCTCACACCAAGTTGGCACATTGGGATGTAACTGAAATACCGTTAAGAGTAATATCCAACTGATTAATTTACCTGACTGTTGTAGAGGACAAATACAGTGCCAGTTTGACCAAATTTAGATTTGGTAAACAAGATTTGAGTTCCTGTGTGTGAAATATGATTAAAGTGTAATTCTATTTGGTGTCTTATGTATATTTTTACAAATGTAAATCACGATTATATTGGTGGAAATAGGTTATGAAGTTGGACTTGAAACCCCAATATCTTTAGTAACTCTCACAGCATCTAAACATCTTCCTTGTTTATGACTTGAGCACATGTCATGTGATTAAATTATGGTGTTTGAAAGCCAGTATATAGTGCTTTCGATACACTAATTCTAAGCATATATACATGATGATTGTAAAGAAATTCCATCATCAAGTTTATGCTGACAGTGTTGTTCTTGGTATGAGAAACCTAAAGTAATAGCAAAAATATCTTGCACAGATAATCCAAAAACTTTAATGTTCATTACTTCAGTTTTTTTTCATGTTAATGTGACTGATATTTCATGTTCATATCTTTGCCTTATCAAAGTCTTAATCGTAACAGATTTTGAATGGTTTAAATCTAATAAGCTGAATTTTGTGTAAAAAAAAGGTATAAAACTTTGATGTCCAATGGAAAGGATGATTCTCACTGTAATTTACCCTAGTTTTAAACCCCCAGTTAACCATACGTGTAAACATGTGTTTATGTGTTACCTCTATGTTTGCAGGACGATGGGCCCCCTCCCCCTCTCCCCATCACCTCGCCCCCCTCGGCAGCTCCACCCCTCACAGAGACGCCAACCTATGAACTTGAATCCAGGGTAAGTTGAACCAGGATGTCTGAGTCAGTGTGACCTCTAACAATGACTTCTGTCCCTTATCTTATATCCTGTTTCATGTAGTTTGACACCAACCACTGTAAATTTTCTCTGCTGTTCTGCTGTTTGACCTAGTTTGTGGTAAAAGCATGTACTTGCCACAGTAACTGAGTTTGGTTTTAACGCTGCTTTTAGCAATATTCCAGCAATAACATGGAGGGGGACACCAGAAATGGGCTTCACACATTGTACCCATGTGGGGAATCGAACCCAGGTCTTCGGTGTGACGAGCCAACGCTTTAACCACTAGGCTACCTACCACACAGCCCCACTTGTCACAGTGAAGACTTGAGTTTAATTCCCAACATGGATGTTCTGTGCAAGCTCGGTTTTGGAGACGATGGATGGAATATTGTTGAAAGCAGCTCAACCATGTACTCATTCATGTGTATACTACTCAACCCTTGATAAGGATATTGGGATACTCCCTGCGTAATCAGTAATTACATAATCAGTGGCATGAAGATATAAGAATAAATATTGCAAGTTGACAAGTGTATTTGATGTGGTCGTGAATGAACTCACTTTTCACTAATCCAAGTGACTGAGTTATGTTTTAAGCTCCTTTCTGTGTTTATCAGTTATTTGCTTTATCATTGATGATCAGTTGGCTAACCAGCTGTTAGTATGTTAGTCAAGATCCGGGTTCTGTTGCTGCTTCTCTGATAAAATACTCAAAGAACATAAGGCAGGGCTCCAGATAAGCGCTATATCCGGCATATGTACGGATATAAAATATGTGCGATACGGTATGAAAATATTTAGAAAACGTAGCAGATACGCACCGCAGCAATGGTGTACGGCCTTAAAATCATTTACAGACGTATGTATCTGAAAAAGTTTTGTTTCATTGTGTTTTTACCTGTTTACACAAGAGTAGCAATGTTGTGGTGCATATATGAAACGAAACACAAGATTACTGATACGCCTTTAAATTCCATTCAGTACTCTAAATGTACTCTTAAGGTTTTCCAGTACTCCTATATTGAACAAATAAGGAGTACATACTCCTGATGTTGTAAAACTATCTGGAAGCCCTGGTAAGGATCATCCAATTATTTCATTTGGCTATAGTCATGTGAACATACCTGGCGTTCTTCACCTTAGTTTGAGAAGTATATATAATATCAATGGTCCTTTTGAAGGAAAAATGGATGTTGTATCATATTTTGTTTTCCTTTACTGTGGAAGCCTGCACCATCCACTTTAATACTGATGCTAAACCAGCCAGAAAATTGTGGCTTGTTTCTCTACACCAGTCTTCAGAGATGATTGCAAAAACATGATGGTGTTCTAATCCTTGAAAGTATAACATCACTTTCATTGGCATCAGAGCATTTAGTGTTTCAAGGAATGTCCTCCAATGAGACATATATATCTCTGTTTGGACAGTCATGGCATTTATGCACCATTAAATACAAATCTAAATCAACTTTGACCAGTTCACTCCAGTGATTTATCATTGTTATTGATTTTTGCTCAGCAACGTCTCCCTCTGTCAGCATTATCGTCTCTAATAATGGCTTTTACATTGGAGTATAAAAAACATATTGAAACAACTTTCCTGACCTTTGCCCCCATGCCTTGGTGATAAAAAGTTTATCGGAACTTACAGCATTTGTGTCGGGAGTGAATGGGTGTGATGTATTTCAAGTAGGGTTTCACAGGTAACGACCATTATCTTGACAAAACTGGTTTTATGTGTTTATTAGCTTCTTGGTCATACAAAGACTTCATCAAATTTTCTGTCTTCATTTGTAAGCCAGGGCTGTCACCAGACAGCCTAATTGTGAATCATAGCATTTTCAGTCTGAATGTTTAGTGTCATGCAATGGGGTAATCTCGTTGCGTAAGATCAATTATTGCCAGGATTGTTTTGCAGAGGACTGTCTTCTGAAGTTATATACAATACAGGCTGTAAATAAAGACAGAAATGTTTTAGGTTACTGTCAAACATGTTTGTGTTAGGAACCAGCATTTATTTTCTTTTATATTATTTGTGAGGAGCAGCATCAAACCACATGTTTCTCTGGTATAATATATTTAGCTCGGTGAAACTTAATTATTTTCTTATAGTAAGAAAAGTCAAAGTATGGATGATTTGTGATCATCATCATCATCATCACCATCATCATCATCCACCACCACCGGTGGTGTTAAATCCATGTTCATCCCAATTATAGATGTTTCAGCACCATATATATATGTATGTTAACTGGCTTCTCCAAAGTCATGTGGCAGTTGGGTAGCCTAGTGGTCAAAGTGTTCACTTGTCACAAGGTACAAGTTTGATTCCCTGCATGGAGTACAATGTGTGAAGCCATTTCTGGTGTCCCCCGCCGTGATATGGCTGGAATATTGCTAAAAGCGACATAAAACTATTCTTGCTCACCCACTCACCTAATGGTGTTCCTGCCATTATATTGCTGAAATATTGCTGGAATATTGCTGAAGCGGCATAAAACTAAATTCACTCACTCTCCAAAATCATAATCATCTAAGATCTACATCACCAATGGGCTTTCTTCCTACATCAAGTTGACATGATATGATATAACTGGAATATACTTCAGAGCAATTAAATACAACTTCTTCCCTCACACCTCTTCCTCTCTTCCTCCTCCTCACCATCAACATTGTCATAATCATCATCATCATCATCATCAATATTGCTGTCTTTCAGCTCTGGATATGATGATTGGTTTGTCATTCACATGTTGGTTGTGAAGGCCAACTGTGAGGGGTGTTCAAAAAGTACTCAGACTAACTATATTCTCGATGTCCAGTGTTTGGAAAGCTTCTATTATATTTTGATGGAATCATTAGCAAACCATATCCAAATATTTACATATGTGGGTAATGTGGTTAACGAGATATCAGTCATCACAACACATTCGGGTATAATTTTCTTAAGGAATTGCAGAAAATAAATGTAGTTGGGATCGTGATAAAACAGACAAAACAACTGCAAACAGCTGCATTTGCATCATTTTCTTGGTGAGGCTGAACTTGTTGTATGTTCCTCGTACCTGCAAACCTGGAGGCATTCTTACCACACCAGAAATTACACTGAATAAAATATTTTTGAAAGCCACGTTAAGCCTGACTCACTCACAAATACGAGTTACTCAGAGAGATGACATAAACCTGAAAACACATTATATATTACACATATTAAATGTTTTCACAATGTAAAACCATGGCAGTACATGTTGAATTCCAACTTCCTCTTTCTCCAAGCTTGGTTTGAGATTGATGAGTTGCATATGCAAATCTGTGTCTTAGTGCAAATGTAGTCAGGTGTATGATGTTGACAAATACATAAACCACAGACAAGGAAGTTGACCAGAAGTGCTGTAAGTGTGACGCTGCTATGCTGTCAACTTCAACATCTCTCACAGCTTTACATCAAACTGCTCCAAGTACAGCAATTATTCAGTGATTCATGGCAGCTGTCATTCTGACATAATGAGCCACATGTATTCAGTATTCAGGGACTTTTTTGGGTACCATATTACCTTGACAGCCAAGTTGAGATTTGATGTCAATATTTTTTGTGTGTTTATCACGGTCTTAATGTGAAAACCAATGCTCACTGGATAAGTCTACATCATGACTTAACCAAGGAGATTCATCCATTAAAGTTGACACCACGTCATTGTGGACAGCTCTTGGAGTGGCCCTTTCTGCTCAGATCTTGGATGATTTGTCAAGTTTCCAAGTTTCCAACTACCTAGTCACTTGTTTGCCTTCAGAATTATACTGCCCAATGGTGTATGAAGCAGTTTCAGTCTGTAAGCATGGAAAGAGTTGTATTTGTATACAAGCAAACATTTAAGTGAGTACTGAACATTCTTCTAAATTCAACTTCAATAATCAACCAGTCCATATTAAACTACAAAAACAAACTTTTATTCATGATGGGAGTATTAACAGATTAAGACACAGGGAAGTAAGTGCATAGAGCCTAATGGGTCATTTGAATAAGTAAGAAACTTTGTAAACAAATTTATTAGATTTTAAACCAAGTGTTCCATTCTTAATGGATATCCTGTGTTCAAGCAACTTTTTATAACTCTGCGATCATGTGACTGATATATATCTGCCAAATATGTATTGTGAGTTGAGTGAAAAATATATGGGTAGCTTGTTTGGACCAAAAATCAATATCATTCTTATCAGTCTGACATCCTGGAGCGAGACATGCCCAAATATCAACTGGGCAACACATTGAGTGTAATCGTGATCAACGTTCACCACTGGGTCAATGTATTTCAGTCTTGTCTTGAATCAATACCCAGATTTGTTACACACGATCTGGCTGTATTGCCCTGGCAGATGAATGTTTGAAAGAGTTGTAATATGGCAGAGTCTGAACCATGTCTTGATGAGATGTCAAGCCAGATGTATTAATAGCCAGTGTTTAGGCCTTCCTTATCAAATCTGTAGATGAGAGAGGGATAGGGAGCAAGAAAGTTTCAGTGTGGTGGCCGGTGACTGCAGGGGAGAACTCTATGTACTTAACTCAGGTCAGCATATATATGTGTTTCTTTTATTTGTAACTTGTTGTTTGTGGATATTGTTGTTGTTTCTTCTGTGTTTTAATGGCTTGAAGTAAGTATGGGGGCCCAGTGGCTTGGCACTTGTTGATATGCATCTATTTGATCATGGCTGAGTTGTAGAGAGCATGTTCTGTATGGTTGGTGATACTTCCTGAGTAATATTTGAAAAACAGGTGGGGCGTGAAGAATGGATATCTTATGTCTTAATTCTTTTTATGAAAATACATTTTTGTGGGAATATTGACATGACGAGGTCTTAACCACATGTCTGCCAAGTTACTGCCCAGTCACCAGGTTAGTCAGTAGCCCCCTGGTGTGTAGTGGCAGCTGGGAGGACACATCGGTATCATCTTCTATGGTGCAGGATTGTGCAGAGTTATGTCCCTTGGACACACCAGAAACCTATGATGAGTTTGAATCCCAGTTCACCCTGATTATAGTTCCTTGTTTGTCAGCAACATATCCATGCTGATAGATTGCACCAATGTAGTAAATATCTGGGCTGTCCTCCCACACTAAGCTTAAACACTACCGGACCTAAATCATAAAATAACTTTACTTTCCAAAATGCTGTGTTGACAAAATGGTGTTGACCCATTCAAGGATTTTGTCACATGGAAGAGAGATGCAAGTCTGAACAGTGTCTTGTGTTGCCTTAGATGACAAGATGGTGACATAATTAAAACACAGGTCAAAAGTGAATTAGTTTCATTCACTCAAGCCATGTCATCAGAACTGAATTCAGTGAGTGAATCAGGATTGCCGCCATTTTTGAAAAGTATTCTTGTCAAGATGTCACCTCAATGATATTGGGGGAATCACACAGAAATTCTGCAATATCATCTAGATGTTTTTATTTCGGCAGCATCATGCCTCTGAGAATGACCCCAACAGCATCCTTTCTAAGCCGTTATTGCTACATCATGAATAAAACGGTGACGTTTCTGTTTCAGTTGAGCCCACGTGTGGTTGTAGCTCATCGGAAGTCAGAGAGTGCTGACAGCGAGGTGTCGTCCTCATCTGACCTCCTCACCTCAAGTGACCTTAAGGGCGTGTCCTCGGCCCCCTCGACACCCCGCAGTACCGCCTCCCCCGGTATGTCTCCCCTGGCATCCCCCAGCCTCACCCGGGGCTGGAGGACCGCCAGCACAGATGCCATTCCCACCTCATATGAGAAAAACATCAAGGTGCAGAAGGGCAACGACCAGCTAGGTGAGCAGGAAACAAATCATCTGGGGTATACCTTTATGTGTAAGGCTTCTGGACAGAAGTCCCTGGCACGTATATCTGTTTGGATTTGGTGCAGAATGGGTCCCAAGTACCCATGCTTGTCTCCCTGTTTGGATATCGTAGAGAATAGGTGCCAAGTTCGCATGCTTGGTCCTTTATTATGATTATAGAGATAACAAGTCCTTCATTGAACAACGGGGAGTGTTCTATGGATATACAACTTCTTTATTATCATTATGAGCAACTTTTGGTGTAGCTACTTGCTTGATAACGGTGTTAGTAGCTCATATTATTAATAAAGAAGTTGTATATCTATAGAACTCTCCCCATTGTTCATCACACCAACTTCTAAATGCCACTCAAAGAAGTTAAGTTTTTCATTCTTCATGGATATTGCCCATGCATGTTGTGCTGGAAAACATGGAATTATAGGTCCCAAGAAGTCTACACATCTCTGCCCTCGGGATACCAGGACAGAATAGGTCCCCTGTACCTTATGTATGTATCATGCTGGATACCAAGACACAATAGAATCCCCTGGGCCTAGACTTTCGAAGCTCTCTTAGCACTAAGATAGTCGTAAGTGCCATACATTAACATTAACTTACGACTATCTTAGCGCTAAGAGAGTTTTTGAAAATCTAGGCCCTGAACTCTATACATGTCTTCCTGATACCAGGGCAGGTTAAGCGAGTGATACCATCATGAGGACTCCTTTTGAGAACTCTGGGATAGGAAAGAAACCTAGCAGCTTTGTCTAGTAGTACAGTCATATAGTTGTATGAGATTTGAGTGTTAAAGTGGCTGCAGATTTTGTGTCATCTTACATACAATAGTTGATGGTGTACTGAGTTACTTGGAGACAGCCAGGTTATCCCGCTCGTATCAAACAAAAGTCAACATTCTGTCACTATGTATTCATCCATAAAAACCAGCATCTTCATACCTTGTGCTGACAATACTGTACATACTTGCAGGTATGACTGTTGATGCAGTGGACCGGGGTATCAATGGTTGTGTTATCAAAACCATCGCTGACGGTGGTGCTTTGGCTAAAGATGGCCGCCTTGCAGTGGGGGACTACGTGGTTCTCGTCAACAACGAAAGCATGCGGCGTATCACCAATGCTCAAGCCAGGGCCATCCTTCGTAGGGCATCACTTCTAAATAGATCCATTAGGTAGGTCCCTGCTGCTTGAAATTGTTCCTTATATCAACAAGATTTCATTTGCAGATTGTTTATGTTAAACCATTCATGACCATGTAGGATATGCTATACTGTGACCTCAGAGAAATGCTGTGGCAGAAATGGTTCCTGGTACCTAATGTTTGTGGGGCAGTGCAGTAGCCTGGTGCTTAAAGCGTTTGCTTATCATGCCGAAGATCCGGGTTCGATTCCCCACATGTACAATGTGTGAAGCCCATTTCTGGTGTCCCCCGCCGTGATATTGCTGGAATATTGCTAAAAGTGGCGTAAAATTATTCTTGCTCACTCACTTACCGTATATTTCTGTCCATAAGCCGAATTTTAAGGACCAAAAAAATATGTCTGTAGAAGGGGGTCGTCTTATCTTTGAGATACAATTTCACCGAAATATTAGTTAGCTCGCCAGTGCCCTGCCAGGACGATGTTACAGGTTACCAGTACATCTGCCAGGATGTTTGCCACGATTACAGCGTTTATGTTGTGAATGATGAATAAAATACATATTAACCTGTACGTTTTCATTATTTCAACATATTATTACATATTAGTCATTATGACATTTATCGTACAATCAGCTGTGCACACTTTTCCCGGCGATGAAGTTCAAACATGCACAATAATATAGCGGGACGAATTCTGGCGCAGTCATTAGTAAAATATAATACAGAATACTATTATTTAACCCAAAGAAATGTATCCTAGCATTGTGTAATTTTAATTACAGTTTTTGCTTTATAAATTAATTAAGAATAAGATTACCGTGTGTATTTGAGCCGGAAATAACAATAAGCTGTGCACACGTTTCCCGGCGACCTAGTTCAAACATGCACAATAATATAACGGGATGAATTCTGGCGCAGTCATCAGTAAAATATAATACAGAGTACTATTATTTAACCTAAAGAAATATATCCTAGCATTGTTTAATTTTAATTACAGTTTTTGCACTATAAATGTAAAATCTATAATCAACACTAAGCTTATACGGACCCTCATGAATGTGGTAAGTTGTACGCACATGGAATGGGGTAAAATAATCAATCCATTTAAATTAACACATGTTTACCGATGTTAATGTAAACTAGCAGTCCATGGAAAACAAGGCGGTAATAAGCAAGCCAGTTTGTTGACATGTTATCGTCTAACTACAATATGTATGATATTTAGCGAAACAAAATATATTATCCATTTTCTGTCAACTACACTTCATTTCGATGCGTGAGTAGACGCAATATGATTGTGAATTTTTGTAATAATGTGGACCAAAGTTATAATTATTGGTATCCGCCAGTTGTCTGTGGTCTGTGTTTGCCGCGATTAAGACCCCATCGCGGGGGTCGGCTTATGCACGAAACATAACATTTTGACACTGATTTTAAGGGTCAAGTTTGGGGGTCGGCTTATCTATGGGGTTGGCTTATACTATAGACGGTAATATACGGTACCTAATGCTTGTCATAACATAGCGTATCCTCCAGTACAATACTACTCAAAAGATGTTAAAGAACTCTCAATTCTCTCATATCACTTCAGTTAATCTGTCATGCCATATCCCTAACTTCCTTTGAGGAGTTCATTTTTGTTGCTAATTTTTTGGTGGGATGGATCTTTATACTGTAGCCACTGGGCATAAAATAACATTCATTCACTCGCCATTTCAGTCAATCACAACTTTTTCCGGTTTTTTTTATATGTTATTTTACACCATTTACAGCAAGATGTAAATACATTGGTTTGGGGACTCTTACTTCTGGACCAAATGATTGAGATGACAGTTGGGAAAAGGATCAACATTTTGTACATGCTCGATAGTAACTATTTACTGGCTGGTTATTTATTACTATTCTCAGAAAGTAGAAGGACAGTGATTTGATTCTCCACTGTGTCATACCAAAAGTTAAAGGATCTTATTCTACCAAAAGTTAAAAGATAGTATATTATGTGTCCTTCTCTAGTGCTCAGCATCAATGAGATGAAACAATTACTGGTTGGCTTGGGGTCAGTGTACTATGTCTAAGTAAAGTATTCATGTTCAACTGCGACATGGTATCTTACTTAGACATAATCTGGCATAAGTCTGTGCATACAAGCATACATGCATACGCAGATGCACATGCAGACACAGACACACACACACACATGCCCCCTGCTCCTATTACTACCCATATCAAAAGTTTATTAGACTCACTTGAAGCACTCACTATATGTTATGTATATATATATACGGTTACATCAAAGATGAATTTCTCCACTAACTTAGGGGAACCATCTGCAAACCTTATGCAGATGAATTGCACGAGGATCATGCATCAATTTTCTGAAAAGCATTTGCAAATATCGTGCATATGAACAGCTGCGTTTTGGTGCAAAGTTTTGTTAAGAATTCGCCAATTTTCACTGAGTTTCATGATTTATTGAACTCATAAAAATATATTTTTCAACGTTATAAATTTGTTTTACAATGCATCAGTTCATGTGTAAACAGTACCTTTAAACAGCATGGAATATTTAGCAAAATCTAGTTTAGAACAGTTGCCTGAAGAAAGTGGCTATATTTACACTAGTGAGTCTAAACGTTTGATGGGTAGTATATATACAACAATCTTGAACATATTTCACATCACCGTATGTGTAGCTCATAACCTTGTTGTTTGACCCAGTGTAAGTAGAGCTCTGACTGGACTTGAGTAAGTCAAAGTCTGATTCTCCCATGAAAAACTTACAGCAGTCTAAGCTTACTGAGCTAAAGTAACCATCTTAAGATGGTCTGCGGTGATGGCGATACTGATTGACTGAATACTCATCAGCTTGCCCGGCCAACTTCCCCAATCTATTTGAGACACCTCAGTGATTTCATTCATTACACAGAGGACGATATTAATCCAGGTAGCTGCAGTGACCAACTCTAATTGACATGAACTAATTAACAAGATATATAGATATAATCTTCTTTCCATTTAGAGAGCTGCTGATGAATTGTGTAGAAAATGTCAGTTGGTAAAAAGTTGGAATGGTAAGAGATTGCTGAAACAGTACTGTGCTAAATACTGTTTTCAAACATCTCTGAAAGGAGGATACTACAATTATGTTTTCACACAACACAATTATTCAAGACATCAAGCATATTCTTTTCTTCTTCTGTACAACATCAGGCAAGATTGATTTTTCTCACCCTTTTCTTGAACATATAAATTTTGACAGACGATAAAATGATCTGTTCTCAGTGTGTTTTGGTGACATAAAATCACAACGTGGTTTGTGGTTTCCGTCAGTGTTGTGTTGTAAGGGAGATAACTGGTGGTTAGACGACCTTACCATCACCTACACTTAGTATGCACACTCGGTCGAGGAAAAAATCAATACCAACGATATTGGCATCAACCTGCCAACAATTTAATTTAAGTGCTTGTCCGTCAGTCTGGTCAAAATGCTATGAACACTGGGAAGTTTCCGAGAAAAATCTATCAGGTTGTCAGAACACGGACTTAGTGGTGTATATCGGGATCCATGCTTCAGACAAGCAGTAAACGACTAATGTCACTTTGTGATTAAGTCGGGGGTGGGGGACATGGGAGGGGTGCGAGATAGGGATGCTATTTTTGGGTCTCATGTGAAATATTGGAATGATTGGTTTTACAATATTCTATTGAGAAGTCTTCCTGGGGTTGGAAGATATTGGATTCTGTTTAGGTTCTTCTGCAAAATTTGTTATAACTTTGCAGTGTTTGTTTGAAGGCTGGCCAACTTATTGTTCTGTATTGGTTCCTATGGTGTTGCACTTGGATGGAGGATTGAGTGTTTGTGTTTGGTGAAGGGTGTCGTGAAGGGTGGCTTGTTTGTTGAAGGGTGTGGTGAAGGGTGGCTTGTTTGGTGAAAGGTGGCTTGTTTGGGTAGGGTAGACTCATTTGGTGAGAAATAGCTTGTTCTGTAAGGGGGTGGTGGCTTGTATTAGAGGGGTGGTGGGAGGGTAGCCTAGTGGTTAAAAGCGTTCTGGAAAAGGGTGGTTTATTAGAGGGGGGTGGTTAGTCATGCCGAAGACCCGGGTTTGATTCATGGGTACAATGTGTGAAGCCCATTTCTGGTGTCCCCAGCCGTGATATTGCTGGAATATTGCAAAAAGCAGTGTAAAACCATACTCACTCACTCACTTATTGTATGGTGAGGGGTGGCTTACATGATGAATGATGATGAGGATGGCTGGTTTGGTAAGGGGTGGGTGGCTGGTTTGGTAAGGGGTGGGGTGGCTGGTTTGGTGAGGATTGGCTGGTTTGGTGAAGGTTGACATGGGGTTTGGCTGAGTTTGTTTGGTGATAGGCAGTTTGTTCAGTGAGTGGGTGGCTTGTTGGTGACACCTGTTTGGTGGGGTTGGCTGTGAGCTTGTTTGGTGATGAGGATTGTTTGTTTAAGAAGGTTGATGGGGTGGCTGAGTTTGGTGATAGGCAGTTTGTTCAGTGAGTGGTGGCTTGTTGGTGAGGGTTGACCTGTTTGGTGAGGGTTGACCTGTTTGGTGAGGGTTGACCTGTTTGGTGAGGATTGACCTGTTTAATGAAGGTTGACATGGGGTTTGCTGAGTTTGTTTGGTGATAGGCAGTTTGTTCAGTGAGTGGTGGCTTGTTTGGTGAGGGGAGGCTTGAAGAGTTTGTAGACACAAAGTTTGGATCTCTTGTTGATGGTTGAGTGGTTAGATTTGTTAGGCAATTAAACTAAGTTGTCACTGAAAAACGGTAAATATATTTGACACTGGTGGATTAATTGCTCGAGGACAGTGGCTAGATCTGTCCAGTAAACGGGTAATGGTTTGGAGGTTTTACTGGATAATGGATATACTGACAAGGAATTGTGAAGAAAGTCTCAGAATAAAGACATTTCATTGATAATTATCTTCCTGAAGGAATCTATGCAATCAGCATCACAGCAAGATCCTGCTGGAAACAAGTCATCACTTTAGTGGGAGAGCAGATTCCGGGGAAAAA